AACTATTCGTATCTCGGTGCGATTAATTTTCTTCGGTGAATCTCAATTCTGCTTCGTTGTTCACGAACGTATGTACATATTTTTCGTTTTTCAAATGGTCTGCCAGAAGGCACGAATAATAATTAAAATCCGATAAATTTTCCTCTATCTGTTGCAAATCAAATTATCCAAAAATTTTTAATTCAGAAATTTGTTCATTTATTATACTTTTTCTCACTTTCGTCCCATGTTTAAAAAGAATAGGCCATACAATCTTTCAAGTTAGAGTAAATCAAATTACGACCCGAAGAAAGAAATTAACGTTTCAAATACACGTAAAGAATGCTATTCTCTTGAAATTGATAAAAGTTAAAGCTCCAAGTCCACCAGATTAACACGACTCCTGTTACGTACATGTTAGATTATATCTGGCAAATAGTTACATGAATTTTTAATAATTAAATTCCTATTTCAAATAGAACGTAACCACCCAAGCCCGTTGTTCATAAACGTACACTGCGTTTGCCAGAAACGCGCGTGCCAGAAACAACGTCGTAATTTCCGGTACGTTGGATCGGCCACGACGACGAAGCCATTAATTGGCACATTAATTCAGAAATCGCGAGGCAGCCAGCTACCACGCGCGCAAAAAGCCCACGGAATTAAGTGTCAAACATCTCGCCGATGCCCACTGTGCCCCGCGATTAAACGGACAATGTCTCGCCTAACGAACCGCATCAATTAAAAATATCGAGACTCGCCTCTCTTTTCAACGCACGTTCACCGGCTACTCCGCGCAATTTGTCCACATCACAAGGTCTTTTTTCTTCCGTTTCGACGCGATCGTCGCCGCGTGTGCTTCGCCCTTTCTCTCGGCGCACGTCCCACACGTGCACACGTGTCCGTCGTGTTCAGTGATTTTGAACAGGGAATAGATTGCCAGAGAAAAAAACGGGGGACTGATTTCACTGTATTGAAAGTATCGAACTTTCTCTGGAGAGAAAGTTTTCGTCAATTTGGCGTAAATTTTTGTGAGGAAAAAGAAGAAATTGATCTATTTGTTGTCTAGTAAATGCGAGACTGTCGGAGAGACTTTTGCGGCTGGTACGTTTTTCGTGACCTCTTGTTTCTGAGATTGTCTATAAAATTCACGTTGGCGCGAACACTTGAATTTCTTGAAATTTCGTAAAATCATGGAGTCTAATGGATACTGTATAATATATTAATATTTTTAAAATGTCTTTAAAAATAGTGAATCCTTGAATTTTCACACGAAACAATCTCACAGTATTAAAAAAGTAGAATTGCTAATGTGAACTGATTAAATATCTATATTAATTTTCTACATTCTTCATTCGTTTAACATCCAAACCTGAAAACTATCGTCAAATACAAAATCAAAAGATCCATCCTGCGATGCTGGTGTCCTCTCTTAAACAAAAGGTAGACGCTCGAAGGAATGAAAACCGCTGTGAGCCTCTCGTAATCCTTAATTACCGCCTTCTTCGTCGAAAAAAAAAAAAAAAAAGAAAATTCCTCTTTCACCTCTCGCGTACCGTTCACATTTTGTACCAGCAACCCGAAACTCGATAATGCTTTCACACGTGTGGGTACGAGTCGAAGAGCCGGGAAGAAAGCAGCGAGGAAGAAGAAGCAGCTAGCGGAGTGACCGTCTCGCGTTGCGTTCTCTCGTTCTGACGAGAGAACGGCGGTGAAGGGTACAGAGCATCGGCTGTTACTCCGTCGAAATTCTTCTTCACGGCGGGAAACAAAAAGGGAGTTAATTCGAGCCTTTAAAACCTCGGCGACGTTCCCATTCCCACGCCTCCCGGCTGGACCACGATGATCCCGGCACGCGAACTCACCGCCAGAAGGAGAGAGAACGAGAGAGAAAGAGAGAGAATCATAATCGCTTCCTCATATCGCCGCCTGCACCGACCAAAATCGCCGGAAAGCAACCGATCAATCGTTCCATTGTAATTTGCCGATTACTGGAACGATAACGGAGATATCCGGACCGGAACCGATCGCACACGCCCATCGGTTCCAGCGGAACTCATCGTCGGACGTTGCACGCAGGCATCCGTGGCTGGACTTGGAATCGTTTCGACCGAGAATTTTATGTATTTTCGCGAAATTCCTTAGTAATTCAGAGGATTTTTATCTATTCGTGATCTATTTTATTTATTTATTTTTGATTATTATTTATTTTGATATTTTATTTTATTTATTTTTGAATTATATCTTATTTATTTTGATATTTTATTTATTTTTGAATTTTATCTTATTTATTTTGGTATTTTATCTTATTTATTTTTGAATTTTATCTTATTTATTTTGATATTTTATTTTATTTATTTTTGAATTTTATCTTATTTATTTTGATATTTTATTTATTTTTGAATTTTATCTTATTTATTTTGATATTTTATTTATTTTTGAATTTTATCTTATTTATTTTGATATTTCATTTTATTTATTTTTGAATTTTATCTTATTTATTTTGATATTTTATCTTATTTATTTTTGAATTCCGAAGACTGCAGGAAATTTTTGGACTATGTTTTATATTTCATGGTGAAATTCTCGAAATGACTCGAAGTATCGAGGGAAGAATATCATCTATCGCAACATTTCGTTAGATTAAAACTTTGATTCATTTCAGAGATTAACGAATACTCCGTGATTAATAAACGTAAGTGTACGCGGATTTTCAATAAGACAGAAAAGGGTGAATAGATAAATTGTGAAAAGGTTGAATAGAAAATCTTGTCGACGTAAGAAGAGATTCACAAGCTGATAAGAAGATAGTCCCGCTCGCTAATTCTATCAAAGACATTGTAGACATCAATTTCAGGAAAATGAATTTAATACTTCGAAAGTATATTTATATTTCAATTACTAATTATCTTGTGTTCATTTAATTATCTTATATATACACTTTTTTTTAAAAATAAATATTATTATAATATTTATTAAAAAAAAAAGTAAATTAAATTAAATGATATTAAATAAATATTTTGATAACAACGTTCGTTAACGGCCGGCCTGACGTGTAAATTAGCGAGATCAACGCGAGGACAACGCCGAGAGGAAACACATGTAGAAGTAAACGACGAAGAAACGGCACACGGCGAGACTGCGAACGTCTCTCTCACCCTTTCACTTCTTTATATTCCGGCGTGATGTTCGGTAGAGGAACGTCTAGTTATGAAATAAAACAGCGTGGCATTACATGGGTACCCGTATTACAGCGGCGCAAGGTGGCGCAATAACTCTGGCGACTTTTACGCCGGGGACTTTTGATTTACAGCGGCTTCGCGACCTGCCTTAATAGAAGAACAGCCAACCTACAAGCGTGTCTTCGCGACCATCTTTACCTTCTTTAACAGCCCGTGAATCTTCCCTTTCCGTCGACAACATTCTCCGTAATTGTTTCCCTCGAATCAACAAATCGGACTGGTATGATTGTGATATTGGAAGTGGATGATGTTCTTGGTAAGAACGAACTGTGATATCGGTACAGGTGACTATATTAATTTTAGTTAGGTTTGAATTACATTGTTTGATACCTCTGTACCGCCACTAGGACGATAACTCGTTGATATTCATTTATGAGTTATTTATGAGTTATATCTACTTGTTATTTTAGTGTTTACTCTAAACTAAAATTTATGACGAAATATTTATTTATATGTATATGTATATGTATTATTTAAAACTTATTATAGAACACATTGAAATATATCTGCAAGATATATTCACTATCAGAAATATTAGTTAATATAATATATTAATATCTTTTTACTTAATGGTCATGTAAATGACCGAAAATGACCACCAAGACTTTCAAAATTATTTCAAATGATCTTGAAAATTGTACGTGCGAAGTATTTTAGTCAACAAAAAGAATTATTGTTCTATACACCACAAATTCCTCGTACAAACGAGGATCTTTCCACGTGAAACAAAATTTCTTTCTCTGAATTAAAATATATATATATATAAATTACACCGAATATGCGACCACGTTTGGAAAGGAAACGCCAGACATATACTAATCAAACTGTTGGTAGAGGGGATTCGACTGTTCGTTGAGATTCATGAGGATGCTGGCTGTTCGGCGCTGCGACGAGGATGCCTTATGCAGATTCCTCTTCATTCGTATTAATAATCAGCGAGTCTGGTTAGGCCAGGCCGCAAAGCCAAGGTCGCGGAGGTTAAGGCGTGTTCAACAAGCTGTTCATGCCTGCTACCTAAAGGACCTAGCCACTCTACCCGGAAGTACGGCTACCCTGTAGCGTTGTGCAACTCAAGATCGTGTTGCTTTTCCAGAACGTTCTTTCCGACTGTGGAATTCCTGATCGTTCCTCATTGTGCACGCGTTTCCAAGACGTGCCAACTCGAATCAAGCGGCACGTTAATACTAGAAAGGCTCGAGAAAAAAAAAAAAAAAACAGAAAGAAAACAGTTGTGCGTAGTCACCTTCACGTGGTGGGTCATGGTAATTAGTATTGTTTTTCAAATTTCGATTCCTTCGAATGTTACTACACGTATTTGTAAAACGATATCAAACTAGCTACGTAGAACTACGTAGCCTACAGTCCAGTCCTGAACCTTGCAACTTTCTTTTCTTTTTCTCCATTTCAACGTGGGACGACGTGGATTTGCGTGTATTTTAATATTAAGTTGCGTGCGTTTTAACATTAAACTGCGTGTTGGTAGTTAAAATTTATGGGACGACGAGGCACGCGGCGGTATCTCGCAAGGACATCGTGGGACGCGTACGTTTCGTGCGTCTAGTTTCAGTTAATCCCTGTAAATTTATGGAGAGTGCCGTAGAACGACGTGGGACAACGAGGGAATAATACATATTTCCTGCATGATACACCGAAACAATGCTTTGATATTTTATCGTTACATCGTGGGTCATCTACTACTTATGTATGTTGAGAAATTCATTCAGCGAGATTCGTGTGATACGATTCAAATCTGTTAAGTTATTCGAAATTTCCACTCACCATTTGGAGCCTGTCTGCAGAGCCTGGCGAACATCCTCTAGTTTATCGCTGAACGTCTGCCTGCAACCAAAAATTCGCTCCGTGATTACCATGCAATCCTCCCCGCATCTGACGGAAGTTAATCTACTCTAAATTAATCTGGACCGGCAGCCAACACGCCATCAAGCAATAAACAAGCACGAATTTCCATGATTTTCTTCCACCCTGGTGAAACAACTATCTTCAAACCGCGATCGTTAATATCTACCATCCACAGAGAACGAAGGGTATCAAAATTCACGACAACCAGTGATTCAACACCGACGAAAGTATCACGCTCGAGGCGAATGCGTGCGCGCCAGCAGGATATTTCCTTAATGTTAATGGCCAGCAGTCGTTCTGTAATAATTACGAGCTTTCCTTGACTAATAGGCAACGACAGGTGATCCTCCTCCTATCGTGTTCCAGCCTGTCCCCTACTGATTTTACGCGGCTGTCGCTCGCGGCCTTGTCAGCCGTCATTTGTCGATTCTAAATCATATTGACGCGCGAAATCGTAACTTCCAATTCCAAACGACGTACTCAGACAGCCTCCAGCAGGAAGGATCTCGTTCACGGGAAATATATATCTCGCCTATTCGCGTCTCGTATATCATCATACGCGCCTGTGTAAAATATGATAGGCAAACATCCGCCTCGAGAAACATCTGCCTGGTGTGCATTTAGGTCATTAGGATCTTGGAAATTACGACTCGTGATTTTGGAGTTTTGATGAAACCGCGTGGAATCGATTTCATAGTTGATAATAGGAGAGATATTCGGTACGTACAATGTAAAATAGATACTGGATAAATTAATAATATAAACTGTAGCGTTGACAGTGAGGAATAAATAAATTAATTTCTAAATCGCTGAACGAAATTACGTTATTTAAACGTACAAAGATTTTTCAAGCAAGATTTCTCAAGTGTGCAAAATGTTATTTGTGTTTAATTTTATTTCAAGGGTTGTACGAAATGTACAGCAAAACGCTGTGTCTTTCGTCGACAATAAATAAATATACGAGATTTCAAGATTGAAGAGATCTTCTAAGAAGGGAACTACAAGAGTTCATTGTCCTACATAAATTATCTCTCTTTTTAATATTAAATACTTGGAAAGAATCCATAAATAAAGAGAGAGAGAGATTCGACGATTTGTCTAAGCCTTTCTGGGCTGCGAAACGCTTCGATAAATTTTCATTGGTCGCGTCATCTGAAATTCTGATGGAACAGGCCCGTTGGGAGATACACGTCAAGTTCGATGTTCGATTCGAGAGGAAATGATCGTTCAGGGCCTCCCAATGCGTCTCTCGGCGACGTTTAGGATCGAAAACACGCGAGGAATGCTTTCTCCTCGATCTACCACTCCCCTTGCCTTCAGTAGATAACTATCTGCCTATTTCAACGAGAAAATTCTTCTCTCCTCGAACGAGAAGCTTCCGAGACGACTGAATGAAACTATTGAATTAGAGAAGCATCTGAACCACTGGACTTTTTTTAGAATTCTATACGGAAATTCTAAATTTGGATATTTCGAAACCGATTTTGCCTCTCTTGAAACCATACAATTTTTGTGTCGAACAATTTTTCATTAGACGCATAATTTAAAAGTTATTTCAGGTGGGCAAGTTGCGTGAATCACCCTGTGTAATGAAATACTTTGAAAAATGCGTTCTCTATAATTTTGTACTCTAAGTTTTTATCAAATAATGAGACAAATACTAAGAATAATCAAGAGGAGGATCTTTTTCTTATTTCTTGATACAAGTTAATAATCCAATTCAAACCTAGTCCATACTAATCCAATATTTTTGAACATAAAATTGAAATTTATATTGTATTTGTATTAAAAATATTAAAACTTAATTATATATTAATTTTGAAAAAATATTAAAACTTAATTATATATTAATTTAAAATGAAAATACAATTCTTTTTTCGACAAACTAACAAGAGTTTCATTAGTTTCTCAAACTTTGCCATTTCTGTTTTAATAATAAAACAAAGCTCCAAAAAAGAAAAAAAAACGCTAGTAACCAAGTCGAATAACCAAAATTGGCAAAAATTACGGCTAAATTATAAAAAATAAATCTTCCACAGAGATCGTTGACTTCTTCATCTTGTTACTTTCAAGCTTGTTCGAGTTGAGTTATTTTTGAAATAATACATATCGATAGCATTTTGCCGACACGCCGAGAAGAACTCAGGTAGCTGGACGCCGGCAGAAACCGTGAAACTATCATTTACAATGATTATTACCATACGACAAGCGACAAGAGGGGAGAAAGATGAGAAAGTCGTCGTGCCTCTAACATAATTGCACAACTCACTGAACACGTGCATACGAACGGGGAAACACGATCTGTTCGCCGGTACCATTTGTACCACGCGTTGTTGCGCATAAATGCGCAAAAATGATTTACATCCGTTGCGCTCCGCAGATAACATTCTTTCTCTATTTCACTTGGCACGAGAACCACCCGTTCCAGTTCATTAACTTTTTCAATTCCTCGGACGCCAAGATAGTAACCGCCATTGTGATTAACCAAACGACAAATCACTTCGTGGAAGATTGATTCCCCCGCCAGTAAGTGATAAACGAGACGAAAACAGGTACGTTCGAAGGAAATTGTTACACTCTGGCTATTGATGCTCGCCGATCTCGAGCAGTAGCAAGACAGTCACGACTCTTACGTTGGATCATTTCATCTCATATCCCCGATCGCGATGGGAAATAATAATCGACCATAATCCGTTCCTTTGGTCAAAACAGTTTCATTACAGCTCAATAATTTAAGGAAAAATATCCAACTGCTAATTAACCGTAATGCTTTCCCATCGTAGCGACGATCTAATCCAGAGGAAGGGAGCTGAGCAATTTATCGAAACGATAATCCTTTCCCACTTTCGCGTCGAAGAAAGAGATCTAATCGTAAATTCGAGAATCAGAGGAAATGACGATTAACCATTGAGTTTCTGCATTTAATAATTACATGTATTTATAAATAAATTTATAAATAAATTATAAAAATATATAAATTTATTTATTTTGCACAATTTAGAAAAAAAATGATTACATTACGCTGCAGTAGGTTCCTCTGTGTTCAAAAGAAAAGTTCGCAGCTAATTAAAAGAAATCGAAGGCAAAGGCAACGATTTTGTCAAACGAAATCAATTCGGTGACCTATCCTTTAACCTTTGATATTCCAGTCACAGACAAGGTATATGAATTATATATAAATCTTGCTCTCTCGTCGCGAGAAGAAGTTCACGCCGAGAAGACGATGTCGGCGTTCAACCCACGCGCGGATGGTAACCGTGGATCGCGTATGTACACCGGGCCAGCCGTGTTTTGTTCGGCATAATTATCTGGGATACAGCCATTAATTAGTATCGCTAATTATGTGGAACAGCGGCAGCGAATGCGCGCGCACCAGAAAGCCAGAACGTTCCGACGGCGCAGTGTTGCGCAGCCAACGGTTCGTTCGGTTTATCCTATTTGTCGCGCATAAATAACAGATTAACGTCGAGATACGGTAGCTTATGCAAATGCGGCGGGTTCATAGTTTATGGCGTTTAATTAACCATATTGGTGCAGCCCAAGACTTTTAATAATAATAATAATAATAAACCCCAGGTTGCAACCGGTTTATTAACGTTTCATCAATCGGCCAAAACCCGGGCCAGCGATCGTCGAAAATTCCAGCTGGAACTCTCGACAAGTTCTTAAAAAAACCTAACCCAAATCTAACCCCGAGTTGCGATTTATTAACGTTTCATCAATCGGCCAGAACCCGGGCCAGCGATCGTCGAAAATTCCAGCTGGAACTTTCGAAAAGTTCCTAAAGAAACTTAACACAAACATAATCCAAACCTAACCCAAACCTCACCCAAACCAAATTCAAACCTAACCCAAACCTAACCCCGAGTTGCGATCGGTTTATTAACGTTTCATCAATCGGCCAGAACCCGGGCCAGCGGTCGTCGAAAATTCCAGCTGGAACTTTCGAAAAGTTCCTAAAGAAACCTAACCCAAACCTAATCCAAACCTAACCCACACCTCACCCAAACCAAATTCAAATCTAACCCAAACCTAACCCCGAGTTGCGATCGGTTTATTAACGTTTCATCAATCGGCCAAAACCCGGGCCAACGATCGTCGAAAATTTTAGCCAGAACTCTCAAAAAGTTCGATTTCACCCTCGGATGACTTTCTATATCTGGTGTCGTGGCCAACTGTGGGTGATTCAACGCCCGATTCGAAGGCTCGGTGTTCGTAATAACGGATCGCGACGGTCAAGGCGCGATAAATTATTCAACACGCTCTCGAGCAATAAAGCGAGCGCGTGCTACCCATTCGCGCGTTTCGCCATTACATCGACTCGTGGATGGATCACGTTATTGATGCTCACTAAGAACGATTGGTTCTTAGGTAAAGAATAAAAAACCAACTTTCTTTTGTATTTGAAATTGTTTTCTTTTGTTTTTTGTTTGAAGAATGTCGTGCTTGACAAGGTGTGTTTGTGTCCGATACGATTTATTAAGCTACGTTCAATCTCTTGCGCTGGAACGACGTGCCACGCGCGTCGAGAATTTTTTGTCTCCAAAAGTGCAATATTCTCTCAGTTTTAGGTATATTTACATATAACCCAGGCAAAGTAAATAATAAATTTATTACTTGTCAATAGTTTCTATCCAGTGATAACGTATCGAGGAGAAAAGCGACGAATTATACGGTTCGGTTATGGTCCGCAATCAGTTGCAAGTGCAAGTAGTTAATGCCTTCGAGCACGTTTCATTGAATTCGAGAATGAGCTCGGTACTTGTAGCTGGTAAGTTTTCAAATTTAATTCCCCTGAGCGTATTACGGAACAATAATAGTCTTTGCTCTCGACTCTAGAGTCTTGCATGCAGTCAATCGTTCTCGAATATTCGCCAAATTCGAGCAAACTAGCTGTTTCAAAGAAGCTTCCATTCTAAAATATTTCTGACTCTGAAATTGATAATTCCTGTAAAATAATCGTATTCAAAAAAAAAAAA